AATTAGAAAAGAGGTGAAGTTGCCATGGTTCAACTTCCAGACAACTGTACCTAGATGACCGAGAATCTTCATCAAGATATTGTATTTAAGAAACTTACTGTAATGGAAAATACTTAAGTCACCCAGAATAAGACTACTCAAGCTACATATAAGTAAATCACTGTGTTCTGTTATTGTATCAACTTATTTCTTGGAAGCCTATTTTGTGAATAAAAGTAGCATGTTAAAAATATTAACATAAATAATAACACCAGAGTTTTACTGTAAGAAAAGCTTTATCCCTGAAAATAAAGAAATATACCACCTCTTTCCAAGTGAGCAGTAACAATAATTGCTGTGAATCACTTTTTGATAAACATTCTATTCCAGTTCAGAATTCAGCTAAATACAAAACTAAAAAAATACAAGAAGAACAGATTGGACATTTGTCCAGAATGGCAGAGGATCTCCTGCTTGACCAAGGGATTGGACTAGAAAACCTCCAATATCCCTTTCAAATCTGTTATTTTGTATTATATTATTCAGGAAGGTCAACCAATATTGAATATTTTAATATCAAGCCATGAATTCCCTGCCTCACCATACAAGTGGGTAGCCAGCAAGCTTCTACTTAAAAACTTCTATAAAATTAACTGTAAATGTTAAGCTCTTGTCAATTTGAATCTTAATTCTAGGCTTATAGCTCATACAGTAGTGATTTTTTGAATAAGATATATCTTTTGCAATTAAGAAAAATATGTTATCCATCTCCAATTGCTGGCAGTCCAAGCAAAATAACCTATCAACAGGAGGAAATGAGTTGAAAACCAAGCCAAAATAATAGAGATAATGCTGCAGAAGTGAATTTACTCCTAAAAGGTTCAGTTTACCATTATTACTTAGTCCACCTCTTGTCATCTCAACTCAACTATCATGAGACATTAAAGTGGGTTAATCTAAATTAAGCCTTGGTTTCAGAATACTTACAATCTTATTTCAGGCTGAAGGCAGACTGCATCTAACTATAAAATGGGTATCTGTACTTGTAAGAATAAAGCTAGAAATGAGCAGTTAAATGATCAAGAAATGAAGAGTTTTCTTTAATTAAAGATTACAATGTCTGAACTTGTTAGCTTAGTAGGAAAATGATGAGAAAAAAACCCAGGGAAACATAAAAGGAAGAAAACTGATATATAGAACACAGGTTATGAATAGAAATGTTTTCCCTTTTTTTCAGAGTACTAGGAAGCCATGTGACTGAAAATTCAGAAAACTGGTTCCTGTTGTTGGGAAACATAAACGATGCCATTGTCTTAAGTCATTATTCACTGACCAGATAAGCCTGTCTATTCTTATTTTTTTTAGCTGATATTCTACTGCTGATTTACTTAATTTATAATCTATTTAATAAAATCTCAAACCGTACTGGTATCTTTCTTAATGTACTGTAGTAAACCTGTCTCAAATCTTTGAGTCCAGCTTTCCCTACATATGGAATATAGAATTTTACATTGATCTCTGCTGCAATTTATTTTAATTTGGTTGAATTTCTCAACTTGATTTCCAATGCTGAACATCCTCAGTTTGATACCATCCACAAATCTGATGAGTATTCTATGAAAAAGTACGTATGTTTTGAATTATACCAAGTTTGGGGCAGAACCCTGGGGCACTTTTCGTACTAGTTTACTATCAACAAAAGAAAGCTACAGAAGACACAGACTGAAACCCAAAACTTAGAGGGTAATTCGTCTTTTGTTTCATAGTTTTTTATTCCAATGTTTAATGGATATGCTTAGAATTTCTTTGTCAGTTTTTTGTTTATTTTAGATTTACTTTGCATCTACTTTGGTGGATTTTAGTTAAAAAGGCAGTATGGCTACAATACACTAATATTTTATATAATCTTTAAATTCAGTTTATTAAAAATAAGAAACTAGGCCAACAAATAATAAAATATCCATCGGACTTGCCTGCTTTGGAGATCCACTCCATATAGCCATTGAGCTCCCGTTCAATTTGCTGTTGTCTTCTCAACTTCAGAAATGCACGCCGATTTTCTACTCGTTCCCTTTCTTTGGCAAACTCCCTATAGTCAAGAGATGGAATAGCAATGCTGAATTTATTTATTTATTTTTATTTATTTGATTTGCCAATTGTTTACAAGATAATAAGTATAAATGTATACATAGTTGTGAATACATTAATTGTCTCTGTTACCCCACTTGGTTTGCAGGAAGGCATCACAGAAGAAATACAAAGGCTGAAAGAACCCAGGATTTGGGGCGGCCAGTTGCCAGTAAACTGTATTTTCTTTAGAGGTCTAAAAAAAGCTACCAAAAGCACTAATACATTTCCTCTATGGCAGATGTACTACATACTTACCCAGAAAGCACCCCCAGCACAAGATTGAGCATAAAAAAGGATCCAATGATGATGAGAGGGATGAAGTATAGCCAGTTCCAAGCACTCCCTGAGGCATCGTTGCTCTGGAGGAAAAAAGAGGAGGAAGTCCTTGGATACTAAAGTCATGGAATAGATTTTTCATCAAAATCATTAACTCATTCAGGGTATATTTGAAAAGATAGGAACAGTCTGTGGGCTGGTGTGATATCAAATCAGACTATCATCACAAGTACAAGCAGATTACAAACCTACAAACTTAATAACGTGACAACCTTCCATAAACTAGCCAGTTAGTTTCCCTAGCAATACCCAGTTACAAAACTACAACAGTGCAACACTGTCTAGATGCATTTTAGTTTTCCAGTTGTCTCACACTCTTCCATTCTTGTTCTCTTCCAGAGTTCTTCCATGAGTTATTTGCTCACTGATACCAAATGAACAGCCCCTCCCCTCTCCTACAAAAATATTTAAAATAAATTAACCCCTAATCTCAGGTTCTCTTATCAGCCATTTAACACGAAGCACCTGACTGGGTGTCTGTATGGATACCCAGCAGGAAGCTATAACAAAGATATCAGAGTGAACAATTTGAAATTGGGAAAATTGTCAAATTAAGCAGGTATTATTTGCTAACTAATAACTAATAACTTCCACCAGAAGATGGAAGATATTATTAGACCAACTACTTTGTACCATTCCTAGCTTAGAACATGAAGATAAAGATACAAGATAGCAGGGAATGACAGCATAGCTAAATAATTTGAGAGAACTGATTAATTTATTATTATACAATTTTGGAATACATAGCCCCCAAACTCACTGAATGGGACTGTTTCTCCTATAAGCTGATCAGAGTTTGCATATACAGGTAGTCCTCGATTTATGACAATTGAGCCCAGAATTTCTGTTGGTAACTGAGGAAGTTTTTAACTGAATTTTGTCCCATGTTATGATTTTTCTTGCCACCGTTGTTAAGTGAATCGTCTTAGTTATTAAGTTAGTAACATGGTTATTAAGAGAATCTGGCTTTCCTATTGACTTTACCTGTCAGAAGGTTGCAAATGGGGATTATGTCATGCTGGGACACTACATCTGTCACAAATATGAGTCAGTTGCCAAGCATCTAAATTTTGATCATGTGATCATGGGGATGATGTAAGAGTCATAAATGTGAAAAACAGTCATAAGTCTTTTTTTCCCAGTGCTGTTGTAACTCTGAACAGTCACTAAATGAACTGTTATAAGTTGAGGACTACCTGTATTCAGATTGTATTTGCTCTTCTATCTGTAGGCTTAACATATAAGACTCACATAGATGCCACAATTTGGTATTTCTCAGCTGCCTTGAGCCTCTGAAAGGTGGGATAAAGATCTAATCCATAAATAAACCAAGTCAATTAAAAACCTAGTGGTTTCATGAACACACCAAGCTAAGTTAATGTTAACATTGGGGAGAGTTTTGTTTTTTTGGGGGGAGGGGAGTTGACTGGATATGGCATGCAAACCCTGACCCTGAGTTAATATATTTCAAAGTATGAGGTAAACCCCAAAAGTGGGTTAATTCATCAACCAGATTAAGAATGTTGTATGAATGCAGTCATGTCATTTCAGAAGTTTGCAGCATTCTTTTAGAAGATTGCTTGAAAACTGGGCACTATTTTTACACTGCCTGTAATCATTTAAACTTACCATGTTTTCTCTGCAGTCATTCCTATTATGAAAAAAATTAAATTCAAGCCATTCAAACAATAAGATACTACTTCCCCAAAATTGGAATGCTTTTTACTTCTCATGTCTAAATCTCACATTGCCCAATTTTATTTCTCTGATGTTTTCTAGAAGTGTGATCCCTGTTGCATGGATAATTAATGCAAAAATGCTGTTGTGTCCTGCCAGCAGAGCTGGCGGCAGACTCGGACAGTGAAGAGATTGGGGAGGAACTTGAGTCAGTCCTGGGGTCTGGGGAAGGCTCTGATAGGTGCTCTGAGTTGGAGGCAGAGATGAGGCCAGGGCCATCTGACATTTATCAGATGCCTTCGGAGTCAGAGATAAGTGGGGAAGAAGAACAGCTGGAGCCTGTTCCAGATGTGCATATGCGCAGAGCTGTCAGGAGAAGGGAACAACTAAGGAACAGGGGTTGATTCAGAAGAAATGGCACAAGTGGACACTGAATGGCAGCTCCCATAAGGAATAAATAGGAGCAAAAAGGAGAGGGGTGTTTGCAGGAGACAATTAGTTCGCTTATTACTGTGAAGATTTGCGTATCTGAGTTCGTGCCTCACAGAGATTCCTTGCCAAGTATTTCCTTTTACAGCGTTGCGACTGGAAGCTCTCAGCCTGGCAACTATCCAAGGACTGATAAGGTCTGTTCTTGCACTTAAATCTGGGAAGGATTATTTCCAGGACTTTTCTGGGTGTGAATGCCAGGAATTCACATTGAGCAAATAAAAAGGGTTTTTTTTCAGGACAAGGAGTCAGTTTCATCATTCAGCCTGGGTCAGAACAGATGCAATAGATCAAACCAGATTCTGATTTTGTACTCTCTTCTGCCCACCCTACCCCTGATTCAAAAGTTGCCAGACTTCAAGGAGGACTTGGATCTCTTATGTCCTCTTGAGATTAGAAGACCTGTTTGAGCCAAGAAAGGAAGAGACGGAAATTGACAGAATGGACAGGTATACCTGCAATCATATTTCATAGAGGGAAGGAGTTTGACATGCCCCTGGTGGAGACTGACTCTGAGAAAGAGGAGGAACAGCCAAAAGGGAGTGGAAGGGTGGCTCCAGAGGTTGTGGAGGAGGCTGGGGAAGGGCAGAGGCTGGCTGAGCAGGCAGAGGAGGACCCAGGCCCATCCCCTATCCATCCTAGGGCACGCAGGGAGGAGAGGATAAGGGAAAGACATGGTCTACTCAGGAGGAGAGGGCCTTGATCCTCTTCATGGGATGCAGGTGTGAGAACTGCATAAGGTTTGGACCTGCGTGCTAGCAAACGTTGGAAACAAAGAGTGTTTTATTCCTGGATGAGGTTTATCTTGGTTGGCGTTCTTCCAAGGGACTATATCTGGTTATCTTCTTGAAGTTTGTAATTAATTATCCTGGTCTGTCATGGAACTTTCTTCAGTGCGGTTTTGGTATTTTACTGCTTTGTTATCTGCTCTTTGAGTTTGGACTGTATTTCTTTCGTTTGGAATGTTATTTTGGAAAGAGTTTAATCTCTGTGAACAATTGAACAGTGAAGCCAAGTTGAAGGCATTAAAGGCATTTATTTACGTTTTGGTTTTTGTTACATTTGTGGTACAATTCGGGTCATCACAGGATTCCTGATTGACCAGAACAACCTCTGCCATGGACTGGTTGAAAGAGATATTTCCACGTCATCTTCTTCACCTCCTCCCCAGTGCTGTGCACCTTTGCCCCTCCCCCCATTAGAGGAAACGGGGCCTCTCTCTTTCAGCCAGGTAGATGAGCTCCCTCCATACACCTATGCCTTTGCTTGGCTGGGATCAAATCCTTGCATGTTTTCTCCAGGCTCCTCCCTTCCACTGGGGGGGGAGGATGGGTGAGGGCACCGGCCCTCCTTATTGTTCCTTAGGCAATTACTGGCATCCTTCTTGCTTCTGGGCCTCTGGGCTTTTTGAAAGAGTTTTCCACTTTATGAAATCACTGAGGTTTGGCTTTTGTGCCAAACCAATAGAAGCCAATAGAAATCGCAGGCTCCCTTGATCAGTGTGAAAAAAATAACGGGTTCCCCCTTGAACCTGACATCATCGCCCACCCTTTGGCTCTGCAGTTGCATTCCAGGACTCTCTTCCTTTGCTCAGGCAAAGAAGAAAAGGGCCATTCAGGGCCTGGACCACATAGGTAGCTTTAATTAGACTGATGGAGTCCCTAGAACTGTCTCGTTTCACCCTCCAAATCCCACGGTGAGTTTGCTGTGGCAAATCGTCCTGGGGCGAGTCAACTGAGGTAAGCCGGCTGCAGCGAGTTGTCCTAGTCTGGTGGATATATCAATATATACTGTACACAAAAGATCCTATCCAGGGGTGGGATTCAAATTTCTTAACAACCGGTTCTGTGGGTGTGGCCTAATTTGTGGGTGTGGCTTGGTGGCCTGTAACTGGGTGGGCATGGCTTGCTGACTGGGCATGGCTTGGTGGTCATGTGACTGGGTGGGCATGGCTTGTATGTAAATATAAATATTTATGTAAATATTGATTTTTTTATTAAAAAAGAACAACTTTTACCCAAAAGCAGGCAAAACAGGCAGGCAGATTGAGTTGCTCACAGAATCACAGATTCACTTAGAGATCTATCTATCTGCAATTAGCTATCTAAGTCTGTAACATAAAATTTGCTTGCAAGAAAACTCATAAAATTTGCTAGGAAGCAAACTCACAAAATTAACTCACAACACACCATGTCTGTAAATATTGAATTTTTTATAAAAAAAGAGCAACTTTTACCCCAAAGCAGGCAGGCAAATTGAGTTGCTCACAGAATCACAGATTAACTTAGAGATCTTTCTATCTGCAATCAGCTACTTGTGTCTGCACTGAAAAGTTTCAGTCCTAAGGAAGGTTCGGCTCTGCTTTTAGATTAGCTAGAAAGCAGGAAATCCAAGGATGTCCTGCTTTCTAGCTAATCTAAATCTCCTGGCAGAGCAGAACAACTAATGTTTGGGGGGAGGGGGAAGAAAAAATAGCAACTTACCAAATCAGGCAAGTCGGATGGCTCGCATGCCAGGTAAGGAGTGAGTGGGCAGGGAGGGGAGGGGCCAGCCAGTGGAGCGATTTGCCAGTTTTCTGAACTGGGGACAATCGTGTGTGCAAAATTTGCAAGAAATCATCAGCTGTGCTGCCTGGACAGCTGACAAGCGCTGTGCTCCGGTGCGCAGCGTTTGACAACCTTCTTGTTTCCTGCTTTTTCAACCTCAGTTGTGCTGTGCAAAGCAGCTGAGGAAGGAAAAGCAGGGAATAAAGGACAGCCGGGCAGGTGGGTGGGCCAAACATAGAACTGGTTCGGTGTCAACTGCTCTTAGCAGCTACAGGTTCTATAGAACTGGGCCGAACTGGTAGCACTCCACC